AGGCTACGGGACCTTAACCTGTTTAGCCTTCACAAGAGAAAGCCAAGGGGGGACCTGGTGGCAGTCTATAAGCTTACTGGGGGGTGGGGATGAGTGGGGTTTTGGACAGACCTTGTTCCCCCAAGTGCCTCCCAGAGTAACAAGGAGTAACGGCCATAAGTTGCTAGAGAGTAGACATCCGAAGGCACCACTTCACAGTCAGGACGGCGAGGATCTGGAACCAACTTCCAAGGGAAGAGGTGATGGCTCCTACCTTGGGGGTCTTTAAAGAGGATACTCGACATTTACCTGGCTGCGGTCATTTGAGCCCAGTTCTCTCTCCTGCCCAGGGCAGGGGGTCAGACTAGAAGATCTACAAGGTCCCTTCCAACCCGACATCTATGAATCTATAAGGAGGTAAGGACTCTCCATGGGTACCTACTCCTACCCAACTCTCCACACCCCACAACCCCACAGGGACAGGACTAAGTCAGTGTCACCCAAAAACCCCACAACCAGGCCCAAACCTCCAGGGAGCTGTATTTTTTCCAAAAATAATTTTTTATTATTTTATTTTTTTAACCAAGACAAGGATGGATTCATCATCATCATACACACTTCACCCTAAAGTGTTCCTTCCCTTCCTCCTACCCCAATCCCCTGCTCAGACTCCCTCACAGGAACCTCCAGGCACACCCCTCACACACATCTCCATGCCCTGCTGCACTCCATAACAGGCAAAGCAGCCAAGAGGCATGCATGCACATGCACCCCCACACACCAGCTTAGTTAGGTACCAGGTTCCTGCCCCACCCTAGAAAAGGCCACAGTCTGGCACAAGGATACACATTCCACGATCCTAAGCTACACCAGGTGTGACCAGGACCAGTGGGGTGCGCTTGCTTTGGGGCAGAGCTGCCACAAGAATAGGATGATGCTAGAGGCAGCAAATGGGGTCCAGCACTGGGAAGCTTCTACAGATGCCCCCGTGTCCAGAGCTGGAAGAGCCAGATCCTGCCTTCCAATGCAGTTGGGTGGCAGGAGTGCCCCACAGGGCTCAGACACACCTCCTGCAGCAGGCTTCTCGGGGGGCTGTTGAGGGAGGAAAAGGAGGGTTTGGCTGAGTCCACAGGGAGGGAGTTTATGAGTTGGTCATGATGCCATTTTTTTCACTCTTCACCTTTACAAATTCTGCCATGCTGGAGAAGTATTTCTGATTGGCCTCTGCAACCTTCTTCTCTGCTGCTTGGGGATTAACAATCTCTAGGCCCTAGGAGGAGGGGAAGGAAAGAGTAATCAGCCAAGACTTGGATTGGCCATGCTCAAGCCCAAAAGGCGCAGAGATGTCACTGTGTCTGGGGTGGAGTATGATTATATAGGGACACCTTGACCAGCACTGAGAGGCAGCCACCTCTGGGGTAGGGCACAGGGAGCTAACAGCTACCCTGCACAGCAGTGTAGGGCTAGAATTGGTCATCAGAAGGCCTCATTTTGCAATTGGCTTCAGGAAGTGGGAGAGAGAATCAGTGAGTCAATCTCATTTCTGACGATGGGCTGGGGCTTCAGAAGGGGCAGAAAACATGAACCCTCCTCATCATCCGACTGATGGGTTTGCCTATTCACCCCACTAGTTTCAGAGATTGTTCTGAGGGCTGAGCCTCAAAGCTGGTCAGGGCCCTACTTCCACCATTAAACAGAGATGCTAATAGGTCCTAGGAACACAGGACTAGAAGAGGCCTCCCCCCAAATCCCTACTGCAGAGCCTCCCACAACCACAAAGCCTTGTGCCCCAAACATCAGCACAGGAAAAAGCTGGGAAGATGAGGACATTGCCAACACCCTGCTCTGTAGTGTCAAGGAAGGTGTCTAGAATCTTCTGGGCTCTTGTTAATAAACAACAAGCATGCCCTGGGCTGGAGGGATGCAAAAAAAGCCGCACAGTACGTGCCACTCTGACCTAGAGAAACAGACTGCCAGGTTTGGGCATCGGAAATGGATTATGAGATTGAGTAGCAGAGAAAGACTTTCCAGCTAGGAGCTTCTGGTTTTCTAGCACCAGCAGGAGCATTAGCACAACCCAGTCAAACTCTCCAGCCTGAACTGTGGTTAATGTCCAAATACTTCAAAAGGAAGGCAGGGGGGGAAGAAATCTCATCTTCCTTTGAGAGCCCCAATCTTCTACATCCATGTGAAGAGGGTCCCCACAGGGCCAGAGCTATTACAGTGCCACAGCATTTACCTGCAGGGGTGTGAAGGCCACACTGGAGGCAGTGCCTGAGGAGCGGTCCCGGATGGTCGACTTCCCACCATAGACCATGCTCTGCTTTTGGAGCGTGCGCTAATGATGGACAGGAGAAAACAGGAGTTATGGTACTGATGCACAACTGAGGCAGGGATTGGGGAGCAAGACCCCTACCTCAAGGTAGAGTGCAGGGCTGAAGGAAAGGAAGGGGGCTTCAGGTGTCAGCCAGGGGTTGCAACTGGATCCACAGCTCTCAGCTAGAGAAGCTGGGTTCTAACCGTTGTGGAGAAGGGGAAAAGAGCTCAAGCCCTAGACTTTGGTGGGACTGTCTGCAGGGCCCAGTGTAAACTGGCTCTAGGCCAGAGGACCTGCTCCAGACAGAAAAGGCCCAAATCTACAAGGAATCTGAGCCCATCAATCCCAGGCTGCAGGGAGCCTGGGGTGGTAGCTAATAATGGAGGGAGCTGACCAACGCATTTTGCTAAGGCGCAACCTCCCAGCCCCAGTGTGACTTCAGCAGGGAGCTCTGTAGTAGGGAAAGGTGCCCCCCCCCCCCC